ATTGGCCCAGTCCGATTTTCTTCTCTTGTTTCTTTTTTTTTCTTCTATTTTCTTTTAGTTCCTAATTACCAAAAATTTGTCAAATAAATTGTAAAGCCAAAATTAACTCAAAAATACTAATTAACCCTTAATAATAATTATCACACAAGATTAAATACAAATATAATCACACACTTTGACATTAAACACTTAAAATGCGAAGTACGTTATTTTTCGATTTTTCATTTTTCGTAAAACGAATATTGTTTAATCAATTCCTAATTGTGAAATTGAACCCTAACTACACATGCAACACATATTTTATATTTTTTCTTAATTAAATTAAAGTAAAAACAAACGTGCACAGGCAATTACAAATAAATCACAAACAACACAAAACTATTTTATTTTGAATTTTTGGGAGTAGTTCTCGTAGGGCAAAAATTACGTGCTCACAGTACCGACCGTGTGCCTGATGAACTGGGTTCCCGATAAAAAGTCGGGAAACAGTATGGTACCATGCCATATAACGTTGAATAGGAAAGTGCTGCGGAGGTGGGGTCAAGTCCCCTCGCCTGTCCCAAGTATACAACTGCTCATTAAGCCATACCATAAATGTGTCGTCCGCCCTGGACTGATCATCCCTCTCATAATGTAAAGCATGCCATGCAGGCGGAGTTGATATAGGTTGCGGCAGGCCAAACTAACGAAATACCCGCTTGGAGGCATGGTGGTCGACAATATCGAGGCATATGAGCGGGACAGAAGCCCCCCAAATATGTCGGCCGAACGTGTAATACGCTGGCAGGGTACCTATCACCTCATCGTTGTACGGCGTCCAGATGAACTATCAAATAAGAACACAAACCGTTAGTATGTACAACACTAAGTTAATCTATAACAAGTAAGTTTAGTTAGATATTCACATGTGCGTCTTCCAGCAGATCCAACATATCCCCGCAGAGGGGGAGATTATGATGGGCATCATACTCTCGTGCAAGAGTACGACGCATAACCCACCTACAGGCTAGAGGGAGTTGCGAAATTTCTACATTAGCCGGTAGCTGTGGTAGAGGTGGCTGAAACTGCAGAAATCGCTCCCAGACCCAAACCTAACATACAAAGTTGACGTAAAGTATAAGATTAACTATAACTAGGTAGAATTGTAACTAATGGATATATTATTTGAATATGTTGTCACCTGTAGAAGCGGCAGAAAGCCACCAAGGTCTCTGTGTGCCGATGCAAGCCCGACACATCTGCCTGTACAAATATGAGATGACAGCACCACCCCAGCTATACAAAGTTGTATCCTCGAACCGGGCAATATGATGCAGAAAATGGAGGCTCACTAGGTTCCCCGAAGTGTTCGGGAACAAGACCCCCCCAAATAGAAGGAGCAACAACAGCCTCGTATATCGCTGTACATCTACCTCCGCTGACTCATCGGTGATGGTATGGTAGATCTGCACCAGGTGGTCTCTAATGGGGACCAACTGTATACGACTGGAACCAGACGTTACCGCCTCGTCCTCCGGCATGAAACCCGTGAGCATGTGCAGCATATCCCAATATGTCTGCGGCGAATAATATCTTATGGTCGTAGGCAGTAAAACTGGCAAGCTATCAACGGACATGCCATATAAAATCTCAGCGTCCTGGAGTGTGATGGTGGCCTCGCCGATGGGCAAATGGAAAGTGTGCATCTCCGGTCGCCACCGCTCAATCAAGGCCGTGATCAAAGCATAGTCGAGCTGTATCCGGCCAATCCTAATAATCCTATATAATCCCATCTCCTCCAGGTAATGGACCACGCGGGGATGTAGAACGCGGGGAGGACTTAAAAACTCCCACAATAGATCCACTCTCCTAGCCCGGAAAGTGTGCGTAAGCAACTGTCCGTCCCATATATACTCGGATCTATGCTGAGGCTGTATGGCTAATAGATCC